GATGTAAGAATATCCACTAACTCATATCGTCCCGTGGATGTCGCAAGAGGTGACGGAGGGAAACAAGCCTGATGGGCAACAGCGTCTTCCTAACAGCAACTACACCTCTAAAATAAAATCTGCGGTTGCCAATCCGCTTGCCAAGCGTGGCAACTATGCCAAATATGCGGCAGTGGACTTTTGATATGCTGTAACGTAAATTATGGGATAACAAAAGTCATTTTGTGCCTTAATAAAGTCCAATATCAGCATAGTATTTATTGGATTACTTACATCTTATTATTATAACTTCATAAATCACTTTTCCTTTATCATGTCTCAAATAAACCTACCGAATTCTGTAGTTGACGAGTCGAATGACACTTTTTGTACATGCGAACGAAATATTAGCGTGTTTTCAACAAAACGGCCAAGTCCCTCTTTGTAGGAGTTCATTCAATATACATCGGTCAACGCGTTTGTCCAGTACTTGTTTCGTCCTTTGTCAAAAACTTTATATAGGGAATTTATTTGTATGTATATAAATGTCCGTTCTTAACTTTTCTTTTCCAAATAGCTCGAGGTAGTATTCAACAATATATAAGTTAAATGTTTTAGGTATGGCTTTATTGACTTAGTCCCCTTATATGGTAATTTTCATTTGGATATATTTTGTATATTAATAAATGTATCTATCTATACAAATAAATAAAATTGAATTGTCTGTTTGTAATGTCAAAATAACAGCATTTTACTAAATGCATATGGAAGAAGATACGTCAGTATACGGTATTTAAAATAAAAAATAAAACAATTTTTAATTTTTTTTGTCTGTCTCTCTGTCTGACTATGTCTGTCTGTTCCGACTAATCTCTAAAATGGCTGGACCAATTTTGACGTAACTTTCACTGGCAGATAGCTGATGCTATAACAAGTAACTTAGGCTACGATTATTTTAGAGAAAAAAATTAGGATTCCGCGCAAAAAACTTAAAACCCACGAAATCCAATCGTAATAATTAACCGTACAGGGAACAGACAGTTATTACATATAAATAAAATTCAAGTGTCTATCTGTACTATAGAAATAACTGGCCTTTATTAATCTTCTATTATTGATAATTTATTACGATTGGATTTCATGGGTTTTAATTTTTTTTTCGGAGCTGTCTTTCTTCTTTTAAAATAAAGTTACTTCGTATACCATCATATGTCTGTCAGTGACAGTCCCGTCAAAATCGGTCGCGCCATTTCGGAAATTAGCCGGAAGAAACAGACAGACAATAATTTTATATTTTTTTTTGTTACAAGTATCGTACATACTTTCATATGCATTTAGTAAAGAACTGCTATTTTGACATTACAAACAGACACTTCAATTTTATTTATTCGTATAGATAATATATTTCATTTATTGCTTCTAATAATACTGAAGTACTCGTAAAACTAATTACAACTGTAACTGCTTTCAGTACTCTTAGAACTAATTACAACCGTAACTGTTTGTAAGCTCCGCATAATATATTAGCGCTTAATGATTCTTCTTGATTTTATAATAACAAATTATTCTAAACGAAATATTTTTCTAAAAGAAAAAGTGTTTGCTCTTTTGTTGCTTTAACCAAAGAAAGAGGATTATTAAAATGAAAGAATCTAATTTTTATCACGTTTTTTTTCTAGCTTGACTAGGTAAGGATTTAATCATTAACTCCTTCTTCTGTTGCTGGCTGCTTGTGTCTCTGTATTTACCTTTATTTATCGCGTAGACATTTAAGCTATGCATATGAGCTCGTTGAAACCCAAGGATGACATGGTTCTCACTAGGCTTTTGAGATGGAACTCAAAACTCCCTCCTATAGTAGTGTCCCAATTCTCACCTGCTGTTGCCATTGCATTCGCGGAAACATGAAGAATAGATGTTCAGAACTTTCATCCATACTATTAAAAGTCGGGTGTTTCGAAGAATCATTGTGCCACAACCTATTAGATATGAACGATACAATCCGAACCCTAACATCATTTCTAGTTCTCCGTGACCAGGATTTATCCAGTAGTAGATTTTTGGTATTAAATGGTATATCTATCATCTTTTTTATGATGATTCCACTGATGTTGTCACTAATGTTATTCATTCAAAATTTTACCTCCACTCGGCTGTGATAAGGCTGTGCGATGTTTTTGATGGAAATAGGTCCTTCGTTCTTCGGCCAATAATAACATAGATATCATCCCGGTAATGATAAATGCAGCATTTTCGTAAACGGTACGAAATGTACTAGTAACACGCAAGATATTCAGGCGATATACTGACGCAATTTTGCGCCATGATTCCTCTGTCTTGAGCGTCTCCCCATATGGGTAATGCCGTAAGAACTGACGTGATTCCTCAAAATATCAATCAACATTTTCCAAAGGAGATGAACTTGGGTCCATACAAGCTTGGGCCCAACGTAAATAAAGTTTAAATATAACTTATTTTAAAGACTTAAACATTTGCTTCTTACGACAAAAAATCATATTTTTGTAAAACCTGGGGTTTTGTTATTATTTTGGTTTATTATTTGTAGGTTATGTAGTAAAATCACTCGTTCTTGGGATGTTGTTACAATAAATTGAAAGGACACAAAAGGATGCAGTTATTTCATCATCATCATCATCATTACAGCCCTTCACAAGTCCACTGCTGAACATAGGCCTCCCCCAAAGAATGCCACAAAGCACGGTCCTGAGCCACCTGCATCCATCGACTTCCTGCATGTCTTACCAGGTCGTCACTCCATCTCGTGGGGGGACGCCCTACACTTCGCCTACCGGTACGAGGCTGCCACTCGAGAACCTTTCTTCCCCATCGGTTGTCGGTTCTTCGAGCTATATGGCCGGCCCACTGCCACTTCAGCTTACTAATCCGTTGGGCTATGTCGGTTACTCTGGTTCTACTGCGGATATCCTCATTCCTAAGTTTATCACGCAGAGAAACTCCGAGCATAGCCCTCTCCATAGCTCGCTGAGCGACCTTGAGCTTCCTCATACGGCCAGCAGTGAAGGACCACGTCTCAGTTCCATAAGTCATCACTGGCAACACGCACTGGTTGTACAATTTATTAAATAAAATACAACTCAAACTTTTTTAATTGTTTAATTATTTTCTGCAATTATTAATAAAATGTCATCTCGAAAAGCAGCCTGAGGCTGTACATTGTCTGTTCTATTCCTCTCAAAACCCAAGTAACACATTATTGTCATTATGTGGGCGCAACAACCTACTGTCCTGTAAATCAAGAGAAAAGCCACGGGTCAAGTTAAATTAATTCACGAAATATATCCACAAACACAACCACAATGCCAAATGCGTATGACAAGTTTAACAGTGTGACCATCTTTAAAATACAGGTCCTGCCGTACTTTGGTTAAAAACCTGCCAAATCCTACCAAAATCTGTAATGAAAAATGCCTAAATACTGCCTACTTTATTTACCATTGTATTATACTAAGAAACGTCAAAATACACATATAAATGCTATATTTTTTATATTAAAATTAAACATATCTTTCGTTGGTTCGAATGCAGTGCAATCGCCATGCTTGTATAACGTACAAGATAGACGCTAAATGTTTATTTATAAATCTGTTTCGTGTTTTTGTCTTAATTAAATTTATTTTAGAGAATATTCTTTCGCATGTTGAATCCACTCATATTTTATTGATGTTTACTAGTAGCGGCATGCTCCTTTAAGCGGACAGCCGGGGTGACAATTTGCAGTTACAGTACACAGTCTGGATCATCTTTAGCTTTTGAGCTCCATGATGAAAATAAAAGATCTTGCTTCCACTTCGCTCTATACACCCTTTCTTATTTTCGCTTCATCACCGCCACCTATAATTACTCTATCGTCCACGAAATATTATTAACAAGATTTCATGGTGATAATGAAATCAAATTCTATACCATACTAAAGTACGTCTCTGTTATGACTGATTGAAATATTAACCAACTCGTGTTAAGATTATCAACTTTATACACAATTTTTTTTAAAGTTGTTTATTGAATGTGATACAAACATAATACGAGAAATCGAGAAATACAGGAATATCTCTAACATGCTGGCGAAGTATCTAGGGTTGTCATTTTCGTCATTTTAAGTTGCCATAATGAAATATATATTTAATACCCTAATACTGCCAAATACTGCCAGGTTTAATAAAACGTCAACCGATCATGCCACAGGCTAAAATAAGAGGCCAATCTGGCCAAAATGGCAGGAACCTGCCACATATGGTCACTTACCGCCTTATTCCAAAACACGGACTTAATATAGTACTGGAGTTAGTAATATATTTAAACCATAAACTAAGAAAAACGTTATTACAAAACGAAGATTATCTCTGGTTCAAGGATTATCTATGGTATTAAAGTTAATCTTTCGAGACCCCTAGTTTAGCTATGGTACTAACCTTTCTATATAGTTTGTGGTACTCTACTCTATACTAACCTCAATTTCGGTACTTCTTAATTTGAGGTGAGCGTTGTTTTCATTTGGTGTTATTAAAATCGTTAAAAATGGATATTAACATGATTGACTTGATGGATCTAGAAGATTTGGACATGCTAGACACTACTCGGCGACCTGATAGACATCGACATCGTGTGAATCCGTTTGAATTGAGTGACGAAGATTTTAGGTATAAGTATAGGTTCTCAAAACGTTTCGGAGAAAAAATAGTGGGTATCTTACGTGAGGATTTAGTGCACGACCCTCGAGGATGCCCATTGAGTCCTGAAATTCAAGTGGTTTGTGCATTACGCAACTGGGCTCGCCATGAAGTAAGTGCTGTTTATAATCTTGGTGGGGTCAATGTACCTAACATTACGCTAGATAAAAAGCCAGATAATACATATTATTGTTTTATTCGTAGATTCAAGACGATACAGCTGATTTACATGGTGTGTCTCAACCAGTAGTAAGTAGGACATGTAAAAAAGTAGCGGAAATTTTGTCACGGAAGTCCCGAGAATTTATTAAAATGCCTACTACTTTAAATGAACAGCAGGAAACCATTAGGAAATTTCGCAGTATTGCTAATTTTCCTACAGTAATTGGCGCAATTGACTGTACTCACATACGAGTAAAGAAAGTGAATGCTGATGGGGGTCAGTTATATATTAATAGAAAAGGATTTTCTTCAATTAATGTACAGGTAATATACAAATATTTTAAATAGCTGTGATTGTCTCTTAATAACTTTACTTTATCATAATAGAAAATAATTTGTTTGACTATCTTATGGTAATAAATATATATTAAAATAAACCAGAAAAACATAAAGTACTAATGAGCTCTTATTTTACAGGTGGTTTGTGACGCTGACCTGAAAATCATGGACATTGTTACCAGGTGGCGTGGTAGTGTACATGACTCCAGAATATTCCGAGAATGTAGACTAAAACAGAGGTTTGAGGCTGGTGCATTCTCTGGAATATTACTTGGTGACAGTGGCTATCCTTGTACCCCTTACCTATTTACACCGCTGCTGAACCCCACAACACCACAAGAAGAAAGATATAATAGGAGCCATATCCGTACCAGGAACACAGTGGAAAGATGTTTTGGTTTGTGGAAGCAACGGTTTCGTTGCCTATTAAGAGGTATGTTTGGAGATATTGAAACAGCAAAAAAAACAATTGTTGCATGTGCTGTACTACACAATATGGCCATCGACATGAGAGAAGATGTGTTTTCTGGTGAGAGAGATAGCATTGAACAATATTCATCTGAACCTATAGTACAAAGATATATTGCACCATCAATAAGGGGAAATATTAGAAGAAGACAGTTTATTGAAACTCATTTTCAGTAGGTAAACATTTTTTTTTACATATTTATATAGCTATTTATAATTAAAATTAATAATTATATTTATAAAATTGTCAATTTTTTTTCAATTGTCTAAAGCTATGTATATATAATTTATTTTATTTTGTTATTCAGAGGCCAATTTTGGCTATAAAATTACATTAAGGATCAATAAATGTATAAGACAATTATAATAATATTTCTTTTTGATTTCAGAGATAATACCCATTTATAAAGGAAAATATTTCTGCAGAGCCGTTGTCAGCTGTCAAAAAATAACGACTACATATTCACCAATATGAAATAAATTCAGGGGAGTATTGTGATAATATTTCATTTATTGAGCAAAATGCTTTTATTTAGGCTATAAATGATTGTGTTTCAGGGAAAGATGCGGGGTACAGCACATTCCACATCAATATGAAGCTATATTATATAAAGATTTAAGTGCTTTAGAGATATGTTTAGATTTTTTAATAAATATCGTCCCTCCTCTACATTCACAGCCAGATTTCCTTTCCAGAGGTGCAAGGGTCCACGGGGAGTAGGACTGTATGATGACTAAGTAATTAGGTTTATTTTTTTTATTATAGTTTTTTACTATTGTATATTATATTTCATTGTTATGTAAATAAAATGCATATTAATTATAATTATTTATTTTAATTATTAATAAAAGATGTACAAATATTTGCAGCAATTTAGTACCTGAAAATAATTGTTTCATATATGAGGATATTTACAAACATGTATCTGATATAGTCTCAAATATTTAGTTTTTTTTATAGGATAATGGTGATAAACACAGTCTACCACACACACACATACACACACACAGTCCATCTGATGTTAAGTAACTGCTGTGGTGCATAGACGTCCACATCTATCCTCGACTACAAATCAAAATGCAGATGCGTTGTCACCCGTGTGGAGTAAGATGGAATGCCTCGTTTCCTGTAAAAGAGGTCTCTCTCATACAAACTTTGTACAAAAATTTATCGAAAATTTGTCAATAAACAAGTTTAAATGTTTTATTAAAGAAAAATTTTATAAAAAGGTTATTATAATATCAAAGAATACATAAATGAGAATATTGGAAATACTGGAATTGAGGTGATCGCCACCATGGTGGTTCTATTAAAATTCATTTAAAAATTGTACAAATAAAATTATTGTTAAGAGAAATATGTTTATAAAAAAGTCCCGCTGGGTTTCTTACTAGTATTTAGTCTTTCAATAAGTATTCTGTAATAATCTATATTTAATAAAAATCATTCTATTCTATTCTCATTCTATAAACTCACCATAATAAACACAGCAGCATTAAGTTGCTATTTAACTTGTGTTTTTCTGACTTTCTAATAAAAATATTTGTAACTCTAATTTTCTAATTTTTAGGTTAGCTATTTTAATATTGTATTTATGTTCCTCTTCCATCATTTCCAGTTGTCTTTTTTTAAAATCTGTGTTACTTTTTACAATTGTTTGGTGTACATCTTCTCTTCTGTAAAATGAAATGGAATACTTAATGTAAGTTTTGTAGTTATTTTAGAAATTTACAAAGTATTCTAGAGTAATAAAAGTGCACTTAACCTTGTACACCAATTAAAGAAATATTTTTTAATTATTTTTAAATCAATTCATATTAAACTTTGCTTTTAATATTTGAAAACATGAAACAATTTTCAGTGTTTAAATACTAATTTTCACATTTTAAAAAGTATGTAATGTATCAGACTATGTAATTTTTTCAACATACCTATTTTGCAAGCTATTTTTCCTGTTTTTAATTTTTGTTATACCCCTAGTAATAATATCTTTATTGTTGGTTATTTTCACCATTTTGGCACTTTCTTCTGTATCTGTAGTTGGATCTATCTCTAAAAATTAATATAAATATAACAGTTTTAGAAAATTAACATTTATAATATTTACAAACTTGTATGCATATGATTGTAACTATAATAATAATATATTTTGCTTTTTAATAAATATTCAATCAGTATTATTTACCTTGCACATATACAACATTGGGTTCTGGATTTTCTACATTTTTAACTATAGCTGTGTCTGTTTTTTCAAAATTAAGGCGAGGCTTAGGGTCAGCAACTTCTTTTGATGTTGTAGCCACAGTCACTGGATCCTAAAATAAATCATTAAAACATTTATTAACATGTTTTCCTGTCACCTGTCATCTCTATTTTGCCCTTTATTGAATCAGGTATTTTCTATGTTGTAGAAATATTATTATGATCCAAGACAAAAGGTAATTTAATAAATTATTAATTATAATACCTAATAGACAAAAATAGAAAATTATAATCGGACTGTGTAGATAATCTAGTAAAATGTGTGTTATGATATTATATAGACCACTATATATGAATTTGTGACATTTCAATTTTGAATATAATTAATTATAAAGAAATTTATGTTAAATTGTTACTAAGTATATTAAATTTTGAATATTCGGAAAATAATTTTGGATTGTAAATTGTATGCTTTAAGAGTAGATTTCAGAGCACTACTTAGGTACTAAAGTAATGGAAAATAAAGTTCTTTAATTTTAATTAAATTTGTAAGACATGTAAGTAATTTTATTTACCACTGCATCACTATCATAATTATTTACTTCAACGATAAAGTCGTGAGGGGCAATGGACATTATTTCCAAGTCCTCAAGAGAAGGTGATGGAGGTTTTCCGCCACCCCCGGTCTTTGATTGTTTCCTCCTATATGTGTATAAGTTTGATTTAGCACACAACTTCGTTCTTTTCCAAGATAATTTCAATTCACCATCTGATCGGCGTTTACCTGTTATCTCATTAAATCTAAAAAAAAATACGAAATCACGTAAACAATACCATACCTATTTGTACACATAACAAATGCGATAAGTACTTACTTATTAGTTATATTCTTCCACTCTTTTATTTTTTGAATATTTACCGATGTTTTTGTCGACTTATTCTCTATTATATGTGCTGATTGTGAAATAAGTGTACGTAATATTTCCTATAATAATAAGAACATTCCTTTTAGTTGAAATAAGGATAATAGGAGGATAAGAGTATTGCTACGTACTGACAAATTTCGATATTTCACTAACTTTTTCTTCAGAACTCCAATTTTCACCCCGTTTTTTCTTTTGTTCCATTATTATATAAATATAACTGTAATAGCAAGTACTTAATTAATTATTAATAATTTAATTTACTTATTATAAGGCTGCAATATAAACTATTTTGAACGTCTCAAATCCCGCGCTCGCGTTACCTCTGTAATTCACTACATTTCACGCTAGAGTTGTTAAACTGAAAACAACTTGATATAATCAAAAGCGCGTCAAAAGTATATGTCGTGCTTGTTCAATAGATTTTAACGTAAACAAATAACAATGTATGATATGTTTTTGTATTGATGGATAATTATTTAAGCATAATTAAATGTGAAAATAATATTAATATTTTATGAAACCGAACGTTGCATTGAATGAAACCTGTATGAACGAATGATAGAGTGTCATTTTTTGTTTTTTATCTGTGAATGATATTTAATATAATACTAACGTTGGTATTAACTGGTCCTCGGGTAGTCTGCGTTTTGTAATAAGCACACGTTTTAGTGCTGGTATTAACTAGAATATTGTAACAAACCTGGACTTCTTACTCCTAAACTTAACCCAGTACTAAAACATTTTTTTGGAATAAGACTGACTGAGTTTAAACTCGAAGTTACCAAGTCTCCTTCGAAACATGCAATGATCAACGACCATACAGCCTATTCAATTTTTTTTATTTTTTTAAAAAAACGTTACCCTACATTAGGATTTTCCCCTGTGTCGTGGAGGCAGTTTACAAACATAAATTGCACAAGGACAAACATCCAGACCCGGAACAATTATTTGTAGGCCATACAAATACTTGTTCCGTGCGGGATTCGAACCCGCGGCCCCTAGCGCAATAACTGATTGCTAAGCCACTGCGCCACGGAGCCAAAGCTGCATTATCGCTGTGAAATTTCTTCAAGATTGCACCGATCGGATCTTGAAACACTTTGTTATAGAAAAAGCACTTGATTCCATTGCAGCTTATTTGGTCTTAGACTCTAAAATCGCCTAAATTTGTTGTTTGTGTCAATCTTAACCCCATTCTAGATCTGACTACTGAAAACTAAGGGTGAATTCTAAGGGTTACCTAAGGAGTCTATTATTAAAAGAGAGAAAAGATTTAACGCTATCAAAATACAGGCGTATATTACTTTTCCTATGAATTTGTGTGACGTTTGTGTGTTAGAAAAATGATCAGAATAAAAAAGATCGGTCTCCTAAGAATAATTAATATACGTTTGTATTTTGATAGTGTTAAATCTGAATATTGATTTATGTTGATGAAAGATCATATACTGAGTGATTTAATGTGCACACTGAAAAGAAAACATTAAGAATGATGACCTACTGGTGGATCTCCTTGATTTGGTGATCCTCATTTGTGACCCTCCCGTACTATGGTGAGAAATTCGAACACAAAATATATGGCTTACTTTTACATACGTGGATAAATCTTCATCACCTGATGGTGACCACTCTGGCTTGTTCGGAAATAAATTGGTTACTACTTCTAGAAACCGAGATCGGAGACTATAGGTAAACGGAGGCGCCAAGGGACGATTTTCTTCATTTTTTTATTTATGTACCTACACAAAAAAAGAATAGAAACTTCACAGTAAGTTGGTGGGTCTCCAAATAGAATACATGTTCGATAAACAAGTTTCATCAAGCACGACTGTCTGCAAACATGCTGTACTTTGCACCTACACGTTCATTTATATTCTATGATTAAATTCAGTGGCATCGAGAGGAATCGAGCTAATGGGTAATTATATGTTGCGGTGTAGCATGTTGTAACATTCAAATAAAAACAAAACCTCGACGAAATCAAAAGCACTAGGTGAAGCTACTCTCCTCAAAAAGAGAACTAAATTCAGTTTAGATAGGAATCACCCTCTTGCCTATATCTGGTCTTCATTTTTAATAAAAAAAATACTTACTCATAAAACTTTATCAACTAGTCCTATATATAGTTTAAAGTTTTGAACTTTCTCAAATGAACAATAAACGTCGAGCAAGCTCGTAAGTGGAGACCCGTTATAGTATTAAGCAAATAATTTTCATTTGCAATAGTATCTTTTCACGTAAGTTTAATACTGTAGCATTAAATCCATTCTGAATATCAA